AATGATGATGACAACTACAGACAGATTTATGCATAAACTAAGCATGTTATGGATTTAGATGCTTACCGAAGCTTTGGTCCACAAGCTTTTCTTTATTTGTGTTATCTGTATGTATACTTGGTTGTGGAAGAAATTTGAAGATCTTTTTACTTAGACTATTCGAATGCATTTGTTGATTTGTAATTGTCATTTATCATCTGGAATGCAATGATAGAGCCATTGCTGCCATAATGGATGCAAATTTTAGAATTTAAGGGAGGTTTGGCATGTTTGATTATAGCAAAGCAGGCGATGGCTATCTGCCTCATGGGAGACATGCCTTTGTGGAGGACATTCTAAGAGAAACTGGCCTTCATCCATGTTACACATTTGGAAAACCATGAAAAAGCTCATGCACTTCACCAGGGTTGAAACCCAGGTCCAACTACTAATGTTCAGCAACTTTAGCACTCGCCCACTAGAATTTAGGAGGAACTGAGTGCTAGAATTATATTTGAATTAGGCAAATCAATGAGGGCTATCTGCCTAAGATGATAGATGCCTTCATGGAGGACGTTCTGACGTATTCATGTTACATATGTGGAAAACCAACCAAGGAGTTATTCACCTAAGATTGAATCCAAACAAGTCTGAACTACTAGTATTCAGAAGTCTTAACCATTCGGCCACTGCTGGGGCATGGCAGACGCAGGAGCTACAGATATTGTACTGAGCAGTAAAAAGGCATAATATTGGGCCTGGTTATATTGGTAATCATCCAATATGTAGCAATGAAATTCATAGCATAAGTTGACTGTGATATTCCGATAAATGTGATGCATGTAAAGATGGAAATTTCTTTTTAAATTGCATTATTCAAATCCATGTACTTATCAACAAAATACATTAATTCCTCCAACATCGAGTAATGGAAATACGAGAGAAAACATCACCTGAGTCCTGGAATTATTGCCCTGGAGATGAAAATCCGGTTGATGTGCTGACCAGAGGAACAAAGACAAATTCCACGAAAGGAATAACGTTGTCTGAACTACGAAATAGTGACATGTGGTGGGCACGGACCTAAGTGGCTATTATAGAGCATCGATTCGTGGCCTAAAACTTGCAGAATCAGCAAGAGATTTCAAAGGATAATGAAGAGCTTGAACTTCGAAGGGGAGCTGTAGTGAACTCAACAGTCACAGGTGAAAATTCCTTTTGAGAACGAAGTCATTAAAAGGTATTCGTCATTCAGCAAATTGATTAGAACTACTGCGTGGGTGTTTAAGGTTTGCCTAACAACTGTAGAACCAATCCGCCATTAAGAAAAAGAAAGTTTTTTGAATGCTTCTGAACTTACAGAATGCAACAAAGGTGCTGGCTAGTCAAATGTGTACAACATTCTGAATTTCAACCTCTGAAATTAAGTGCCTGCAGTCGAAAACAATCAGTTCCAAGTAATAGTAAGGTTTTATTCTTAAATGTATGATATTTATTTGCTTTAGTACAAAGGCTATTCATCTAGAAGTAGTATCGGATTTGTCTACTGAAGCCTTTATAGCATGTCTTAGAAGGTTTATTGCCAGACGATCTAAACCATCCATTGTTTGGAGTGATAAAGCTACGAACTTCAAGGGAACAAAGAATGTTCTTGATAAACTCTTTAGAATTTGTAGATCGGATCCTATTCAGCGCTTTAGTTCCGAAGAAGTGTCATACCGAAGAAGGACATGGAGATTTATTCTTTCCTTCTTTCCCCGCATTTTGGCGGATTATGGGAGGCTAATATAAAATTAATGAAGAGATTTTGACAAAGGTCGCGAAAACGAAAATTTTAAACTTTGAAGAGCTGTATACATTAATTACACAAACAGAAGCCTGCTTGAACTCTCGACCTCTATCACCTATTTCGGCTGAGCCAACAGATTTTCAGCCTTTGACTCCAGGTCATTTCCTAATAGGAGCTCTTTTGTCGATACCAGAACCGAATGATTCTGTAGATTCTTTGACCTTGTCTTCTACATGGACTTTAATTCAAAAACTTATAGCTAATTTTTGGAACCATTGGAGCGTGGAATATCTTAATCATTTGCAGAACCGCTCAAAATGGAATCAAGTGAGATCCAATCCGAAGCCAGGACAACTAGTCTTGTTAAAGGATAAAAACAAGACACTAGCTCGCATCGAGGAAACCTTTCCTGGTCCAGATGGACTAGTACGAGTCGTAGACGTCAGAACTTCAGATGGAATCTTTCGCCGAGCCGTCTCCAATATCAGTCCACTCCCATTTCCAAATGATGTTGGACAATCGCCCAACGGGACCCGAGATGTTCCGGTTTGATTAGAAACAAACTTTTCTCTGCCTCAGAATGGCAACAGTGAGAACTTGACTTTCGATTTGTTAATAATGCTGCTCCTAGATGTAACATTAGATTCGATTCTAGATTCTAGATTAGATTAATTTTAGTATTTTAATAAATCCTTTTAAAACTAGATTGAGTACTTGATCATAGAATTATAGCTGAACCACCGCTTGCAGAAATTTAGATGTGGCATTTAGATAAGTCATTAGATTCATAGTTAGATGCGTAGGCAGCGACATTAGTGATTCGAATAGTGTACATTAGTGCGTACATAAACAGTAGCATTACTGGTCTGACGTCCGTGTAAGAAATCTACCAGTAGGGCCCCCTCCAGTCCCAAAAGACCAAGTCCAACACTTTCCCAGCAGACAATCAAGTTTTGGCTTTCAAGGGATTTCCTCCACTTTTCCTTCTCCACTCCATGCTTGCAGGCTTTGATTAGATGTGTACATCCACCCACGTCTCATCACAGGTTAACAACTTTATGCAAAAATGCTTCCTCTTTTTATCATTATTCAGAGCTTTGGAGCCCAATGAGCTAAGATTTTTCGGTAGCCCAACTGCTTTCTGATGACCGAGTGGACACTTTCATAGTCAACACCAAGTTGCTCTGAAATTTGAAGCACTGTGGAGCATTGATCCCATTCAGTAAGCTCACGAATATTTGCAGTGTTTTCATTAGTCACACCAGTGGGACGATGACAGGGATGACCTTGATTCGCAACACCTTTAATGGCCTTGCTTGAATTCGTTCCACCAAATCTTCACCCTTGACCATGAAGGGGTAGCTCTCCCAAACTGGGCATTCATTTTCCAAAATTGATGGAGTTAGTGAATTAAACTACAGCATTGAACTTGGATGATTATGCACAGTGCATTTCAAATCTGAGAATGGATTTCAAAAGCAGATTTTCCAAGTTTCGTGAAAATGAAATTTTTATGAGAATATTTTCCTCACCATTCTCATTAGACACAGACTGTGTTCCACTTGAACTTCAATTAAAATCCATAGATCTGCAGCAAGAGTCTGCAGTAAGATACAAGTTTCTTGAGAATCCTACATTAATTAATTTTTATTCAAAGCATGTGCTAAAAGACAGGCAACCAGGAATATATAAAAAAGCATTGTTCCTGTCTTCTATCTTTAGCAGTACTTACATATTTGAATAATTGTTTAGTCATCTGACAGATCACTTTTGCAGGATACTTTATGAATCACATCAACACATATTTTATTGCATACCAGAGGTTTAATAAAGCAAAAACAGTGCCAGGTCTCTCATTAACATTGAAGTGACATTCATCCCATCAGTGATATGAATTTATTATCAGTGGATTTTGTAACATCATTATGTGCTATATATTGTTTCAACTTCTTTCTCTTACATAATAAAAAAGTACAAAATATATAATTTGAATTTCCACTGAACTTTTATTTTTTAAATTAAAAAAATACTGAATATCATAAAAATCAGTAACACTATCTCCTCCCTTCAAATTAATTTAATTTTGTAAACCTCCCTCTCTTTTTATAAATTTATTGATGTGGCTCTCAGGCGTGAAAGGATGAAAACCCCTACTCTACTCATCCAGATGTAATCAGTCATGGCAGAATCTGAGGATTCTAAGGCCATTTTATACATATTTTTTTTTTATATTAAGCTAAACACAGCTCCAGTTAACTTAAATTTAAATTGAAGTTGCACTAGAAATTATTATTATGGAAATGGTAAATAAAAAGGTAAATTAATTTAGTATTTTATCACGATAACAATTTGAAGATGAGAAAGAACTGCAAATTTTGTTCTTAACTCTGCCTTTAAGGCAATATGGCACATATTGCTATTACATGAAGAAGATAACAGTGATGTATTGTAGAAGCTTTGATTCAGTATACGGTGGGGGAAAATAAATCTCTTGTTACTTATATATGCAAATTTCCTGTTTTTGGCAGTTGATTTAATTTTTCTGTCATTCATTTCAACTTTATACATATCTAATTTATCATGAATTTAAAAAGTTGTAAAAATTTCATTCATATGTTTTGGTTCTAAATATGTAAAATAAAAAGAAATACAACAAAATCAAAACATTTGCTATGCACGTAGTATTTACATACAGCTATCATTAATGAAGTCTAAATATCATTACTAATTTTGAGTTAAAATGTCCTGCAAAAACAATTTATGTTTAATATGCACAGTATATGATTTAAAAAGTATCTTGAGGTAATTTATCACCTAGCTATTATCTTTCAAGTTAAAAGGAAACAGACTTTACCTCAATATGGATCTTTAACCATTTAATGTATCTCTTTTGCAGAACAGGTATGAAGCTCTTGCAGGTATGTGTTGTAAACAAGTTTTCCCATTTCATTTACTTATTTTTTGACTCTGTATCTCAGACTTGAAAACATTTTATATTTGAAACAATATGCTATGCTAGAAAACTGTAATTAGCTGTATAAATAATATGAAAATATGTGCAACAGAAAAATTTATTTAGACTTAGCCTTTGAGAGTTTTCAAGACAGGGTATCACATAATGGTACTTCACTAGTTTTCCGTGTATTATATTAGTAAATGAGCAATAATTTATAAAAAGAGAATTTGAAATCATAAGAAAATTGATAAATCAACGTAATAAAATTTTACTTACCAGGATGAAAGTGAAATATTATATTAATAATATCTTGGTCACCCCATACAATATTCAATCGATATTCCTTCATGATTGATGGAAGATATGTTTCCCACTGGAATGTTCTCATTCTCGTCAGATTCATCAGCATAACACCAGAATTAACACCTATAACACCAACAATAATACATAAAATAAATATGGCAAAAAATTAAAATATAGGGCCTTTATGCAAAAGATACTAAACACAATACTTATTTAATCATTTACTTCTCACAATACAAGCAATGAGTTTTACCTAAGATTTAAAACACCTAGAATCACATTTGCAAGAAAATTATTTCACAACTTTTTTTATAGTTGTATTTACTTAAGTTAAAGATACCACTGGCTTCAAATGAAATTTGAATATAGTCGTTTGAAGAAATTTTCAGTTGATTTTTTGGACTACATAAAAAAATTAAGGGTTCAACTAGAATTTGCTGTTTTTTTGCAGTTAACAGCAGTTCTGATGAATGTACATGTCAATACTTATTTATAAATTATACATAAATATTTTGCACCTCTCATCTTAAGTGAGATCAAATAAATTTCAAACTTTACATAAAGGAAGCAAATATACAGAAAAATGTACATTAAACTCCTGATTACCTGAAAGTAGATTAACCAGGCTCTGTCTAAAAAAAAAAAAAATAAAAAATAAAAAAAATAAAAAATTGCTTCGTTTATTGCAGAATGATGAAAAATTTACTATCATCAGATCAAACTGAAACTTATGCATTAAAAACACAAAAATGAAATAAACATATGTGTTGAATTACCACAGTGATAGCAGATGGTGTCATTATATTTAGGAATTGTTTTTATTTACTTCAGTACATATTTTAATTGTATGTAATCTGGAACAAATCAACAACCTTACAGAATTCTTGGGAGGAAAAAGTTCCTATTCTTTTAAATAATTTTGTAGTTGGTCATATTCTTCAAGTTCTTTTGTCAAAATTGCACTCTAAAATCTTAGTTTTTTTCTTTTCTAATGATGGTATGCTTCGATTATTTACGGTGTGATTATTTTTGTCTTGAATATTAATTTGTGTACACAAATGAAATTATTCTCTACATAAAACCACTTGAAAATACAGCTAAATTGTTAATAGCACTTTTCTGTCAAATCTGATATGGATTATTTCTTTGTCCTTTGCTTTTTAATTGTGTCTGGATTAACTGTGATTTGGGGCATAAGAGGAATCAGTGAAATAGCAGGATAACTGCAGTACAGTTTTAAAGGTTAAAAGGTTAAACAAAACCTTTTTCCTTAGCTGAGGGAGTGAAAATCATAAAAAAGAAACATGTCCATATGAGAATAGCATTAAAAAATGATGAAATATTATAGCAAAATGATAGATAATTGGCCATCTTCTGCCATCTGCTAACTGAAAAGTAAACAAAAGCATCAAGATATAAATTAATGCAAAGCATATGGGACTAAAAAGGGATTAGATATAGGATACAGGATAACCACAACTGAAAGATTTTTATAGACATGAAATACATTCAAGAATTTTAACAGAAAACATTATTTGAGTAATTTTGGTTGCAGAGAAATGGATAATAATCTTTTTTTCCTACCGGCAAACACAGGCAACAGAACATTTATGAATTTCGTTTTTACAAACTAAAATCTCATGATGTTAAGCAAGAAAGTTCAAGGTGCCTCTTCTTTTGATAAATGCACACCAAGTAAAAACAAAACAGGGGAGGAGACAATTCTATATCTCCTGTTCTACTTGGCAGATTGATGAAATTCAACTTGCATTTCTAATGTCTCAAAAGTGCAACTTAGAATATTCATTAGAAGTATAAACAGCACTATTTGAACATATATTCTGACATAAAAGTGGATTTTTCTGAAATGACATGCTGTTTTTTTAAATTTCGATTCAATGACTCAAATTATGCCTAAATATCAAATTTAGTACATGTTGGTGAGAAATTTAAGGAGCAATTCCAGAATTGGTGCACTTTGTGAATTTGGAATTTGGTGAATTTCTCAGTTTATGGAAATATATTTTATTTCACTTTCCTTTTCATTCATATTTTCCTTTCAAATTTCATTCTGAACAAGTGCAAGAAACATACTTTTTATTTCTTCTTGCATATATTTTTGCTTCATATTACATTTTTAACCACAGTTATTATTTTTAGATTTTTATGAACTTTATTTTAACTGTTCGAGCTGCATGGCTGAATTATATTTTTTCAAATAATTATTTTCACAATTTCTGTTTATTCAAGCTGTGTATTTTAAGTATATTTAATAATATAAATGTTTTGATAATTTTATTTTATTTATTTTAATGGCATTTTTTTCAAAAGAATACTTTGTGAACCAGTATATGCCACGATGCATTTGAAAACTGCATACATTAAAAGCAGAAATACAGGAAAGCACAGCTAATATCTTTCACTGGGCCAATCAGAAAAGACATATAAATGAGAAAAATGACAGTTGAATTCAGGAGATGAGTCTATTGCTTTACAGAGTTATGTTTCCCATATCATTAAATTTTATCATGCAAATTTAAGTTTGCTGAAATATTAGCCATATTTCATATTAATATAATTTTTAAAAAAATTGCGAGAATCAAGTAGTATAACACACATACAAACAAACAACAACAACCCCCCCAAAAAAAAAACACCTTATAAGGTTTTTTACGTTAAACTAACCAGTTCCATGATTTTAATCTTTACGTATTCCTCACCAGAACGCAAATTAGCTTGTAGTGTATTTAAGCTCACATAGTACTGTCAGAATTCAGACAGCTCTAGCTAAATGTAACTACACCAGCTTTGCAGATCTCTCATAGCCAATGGATTTAACCTATGCACCTGTGAAGTTAGGTTAAGCCAGCTTATAGTTTACATTATTGTCTCTGTGTAGTCTTAGATTACTTATCGACGTTTAAATTTTATTTGACTGTTATTCTTTATTACAGGTCACCCCAAGTAGCAGTTATTTGTAGCACAAAGTTGTGCCCATTATGTTTGAAGTTCTGTTTAATAAAAAGGTTATTTAAAACTTTTTCAAGTCTTGTCATACTATTTTAAGCATAGCGGTAATTCACCTATCTTATAAGGTTATAGGACTAAAGTTCCAGTCTTATAACTCTCATAACCCTTTAGACTTTGAGGCATTTTGTAAATATAGCCACAATTAGACACATATATTTATTTGCTATATATAACAAACACCTTTGAAACACCTCGGTTTTTGTAATATTTTCATGAGTAGAGTTATAATCTAGTGATCCAATGTTAAAAATGGTGCACAAATAATCTAAGTCAAATAACGTTCATAATTTACATCATAAAGACCAGTAACTGCCATATAAAATAGTACACATTTTTTAATTATCTGAACAATATGACGAAAACTAGATGTTTGAAACATTCTTTGCAAGAGAGTTAGTGTAAAAATTTATATTTCATATGTTTTTACTAAACAATGAGATACGACCAAACTGCAAACTTTTAATGCTTCGTTTATTTTGTTAAATACTTAACTTGAAACTACATACTGTGAAAGAGGTATGCCATGCATAGAATTTTAGCTTTTATGGTAAAAAAGCAAAGATTCAATCCAAATATAGCCAATTTTCAATGAGCTGAAACTAAAGGGATGAACCACTCAGACAACAACAGTGAAAAACAACTGCGTCAGTCTCAAATACTATATTTGGATATTCATTTTGACTTACGTTTGAAATCCTAAATCTGAAAACTATCCATAGAAAATTTTGACTGACTGAAATTCATGTAAACAAAGTTTTAGAATATAATCACAGTAGTAAAGAATTGTGTATATATAGCATTATATGCAGAGAATAAAAAAAAAAGAAAACTTTCAACTTTACTTTCAAGGCAACTTTACTTATGGGATAGAGAAAAAATCACAAGGAGACAAATCTGGTAAACATGTGGAATGATTGTCTACACAAACATATTTTTGGGTTGAAGAAGCAGTTCTATGAAGTGGTTAATGATCAAAGGGAAGACGCATTATCATGCAATACAACACATTTGGAATAATGGTTTCCGACTAAGTAATGCAAGATTAAAAATTGTCTTCTAAATTCTCAGCTATTTAAATCAACAACCCAGCCAAACGTTTAAAATTGCAAAATTGTTTTGACACATTATTTTCTAAAATAAACCTAATGTCACAAAGCTAAAAATCTAACCTTTCTTTAATCTTTCCTGAACGCAGAGAAATTGTCTCATCTTTAGCCTAGATTACAAGAACATTAAAAGAGTACAATAACAGCAAGTGTAACTGAACATTCATTTCCACTATAGCTTGGTAGTTTAAAAGGTAGCATGTAAATAAAACTTAAAACTCTTGTTTTTTTGGCGTCTGAAAATATAATATTTTAAAAATTCATAAACTGAGTAGTAAATTAGTGACTAATAAGCTGGTTCATAATTTAATTGGGCCCCACCCCTGACCTACTGGTTAAAGGCCACTGAATACTGATAGTTCATCCCGGGCTCAAACCCAGGTGAATGGGCTGGCTGCATTTTCTTAGTTTCCCTACATGTAATGTGAATGGGAACCAGTTTCCCTTAGAAAGCCCTCCACAAAAGCATTTCTTCCCAACAGCTCCCTCCCCAATCAAATAGCAATAGCTATCGTGTGTTTTGCTATATTCAAATAACCTAAGATAATGCAACAATATTTTGAAAAAGAAAATAGAAACTTAAATTTTGAAAAAAATAATTTAGTATAAAATCAAAATAATGTCAATTTTTTAATAGAGAGCAAAGCTGGGATTCCTTATATTTGAAAATTAACAATTTATATATTTACTAACTTTCATACACAAGTAATAAGAATCATAGTTCTATGATTACCCTTACTGCATTTGTCTGGATTTAGCTATAAAAAGATATTCTGGTTTTTGATTTTATTTGGACTCGCATATAATGCTTCAATGTATATTCCTCTTGCAACATTCATTCTGAAGTACTGATTCAAGAAGCAATACCAATATTAAAAAAGTACATATTTTGGAATACCTACTGTTACAAGTTCTTCCATGTGTTATGTTTTCAGATAACAAAAGTAACTTACAATTTATTTAAAATTTCATTTGAATTACACAATA